TGTCTTATTATTTTTGTTGCGCACGGGTGACCCCTGCTGGCCAGTAACGTAACTCCTACTTGCCAATTGAGCTTGCCTGTGAACTTTTTTCTAAGGTAATTCATTTTGTGCAGCTTTGTGTTTCTGTTATTCTGGCAAAAAAAAATTATTGCAATAAAGTTATTATATTGTTGAAATCTTGCACTATTTTAGTTTATCTTTGTGGCTTTCGATTGCAGGGTTTGTGCAAATTAATAATCAGGTATGTCTGAAAATATTGAACAGACAAGTAATATTGTCTGTTATATAATACTTCTGGGTGGAGTAGCATATTTTATTGTCAAAGGATATTGCATGATTGCAAAAAAACAGCGACCGTTGGACAGTCACTTTTACACATTGTATTATTTGTCATCTCAGATCTTCTAATTGCACTGCCTAGCAACTCATACAGGTGTGTCAAGGACCCGCCCATACGCAATGGTATGAGTCAGCTCACTGTGTGCGTATGAGCCAGCACAGGCATGAACATGTTATTCTATCTGTCTGTTTCAGTGTTTTAAAATGGGTGGTTACACAGGTCTTGAAAGACAGCAAAATCTTAGCCCTTTCACTCATGTAGTGAGTAATCCACAACTAGGAAACTTCTGAGAAGAAGAGACATGGCTCAGATAAAAGTCTGACTCAGAATCAGCATTTTGCTTAGTGATGAGAAACTGTATGAAATATGAAATATTTTTTGTGCAACTAACGAGTAGAATCAAAAGGTGTCTTATCTCTGAGAAACAAGTTAACTGTGTCATGGACTAGATTTCAAAGGTCCAGCAGAGAGTGAAATACACGATTTATTGCTCTGGTGATGGTATCAATTTAGATAGAATAACATATAATCTCATGGGCGTTGTCTTTGTTCAGAGGTTTAAACACAAAGAAGTACAAACTTATGAAGTACATAATAAAGAGACTTCAGTCTCTTCTTACAGATAAGATACTATTGTACGAATGAGGGTATGTTTCCTTAACGTTCTAATGGTTTCCATAGAAGTAAAACAGGCCTTGATCATTAACTCCTGTCAAGTCTGTGAAGATGCAAAGGTCACAATGGTTCTGTTTCTCTTCACAAGTACAATATAGAGAATTTGAAGTCATGTAATACATTGTTTCTTCAAAGTTATCTTTCGGTTTCTGACATTCCTATGTTGAAACGCCTTCAACTTTTTTCAGGAGATTTTGGCTTCCACTCAGTACCAAAAAGAGTTCATTAACCCAAAGAGCAATTCACTTCCTGCAGAGACATTTGATTTCTCGCTAATAGGGCTTGCTGCATATTTTTCATGGAAATCTTTCTAAATAAAGACCACTTTCTAGGGGAGGAAAAGCTGTTTCTGGCAATAATACAATCTTACTGGAAATGTTTTCAACATATTATTGTTTTGTATTATTGCCAGCTGTTTCTAGCAATAATACAATCTTACTGGAAACGTTTTCAACATCTTTTCAACTCATGTCACCTATATGGCATATAAATAAAGCCTAAAGGAACCTGCCGTCTGGGTACAACATTAATAAACAAGATGATGTGAAGTGCCTGCAGTGTGTCTACTAAACCAGCTGTCAGGATGTTTGCCCCCGGTTACTCTCATGATGTCAATACTAGTGTCTGGAAATGATTTCATACGTTGTCAGCAGCCAAGAGACATGCTGGGATTCAAGAATAATCAGCCCGGTAGCGTTAACCTGTTGGTGTCGTTGCACTTCTCCACATTTAATACTCTGTTCTTGTGAGATGTGGAGCCCTTTTTTTAGCTGAACTTTTTTCAAGTCAGGTTGCTGCAACCGTTTTAATAGCAATGCAATCTTCGCAACAAAGCTCCTCTTTATGATCAGGGAATGAAGCAGGACCGAAACAGGGATTTTAGCACCTGGGGCAAACAGTAAGTTATATATTAACAAGCCCAAAGACACACTAGTCAAAGCTTTTACTTTCCTTTCAAAACATGCCGCGCATATCTGAAGCTATAATGCACATAAACGTTGAGAAACCAAAAGCAAAGCTTTGTTTCTTTTGGTTTTAATGTAATAGGACACAAAATTTAGGATTTTTCTTTTTGCAGTTAAGGTGGAAAGGCTCACACCTCCCCTCCTTGTCTGGTTTCAATGAAATTTCAGGTATTAAGGTTGTTAAATTGCACATGTTTCATCTTGCAGCATCTTTGTTGACAGAAAGCATGTTAAACGCCAAGCAAAGCAAAACCTCCTAGGGATGCGGGGTGTGTCTCATTCTGAGACTGGGACTGCCTTTTCAAGAAACTATTGTTACTGTATTGAATTATGTTCTTAATGAGACAAACAATGACCAGAATAGTTTTTAAAACAAGTTTAAATTTACCATGTTAGTATTTGCAAAAGACAACATGTAGATGCCCTAAGAGTTTTTAATTTTACAGATCTGGAGATTGGGTGGGTTTACAGTTCCAGTGTTTACCCACAATCATGTCTCCTCTCCCTGATCAGTCTTTTCTACTCTGCTCTCACACTTCCCTGTGATTTTTTGGCATGTCTGTGCAAAAACTCCATGTACAGTTTCTTGCAAAAAATATATATATATATATATATTGATATCCACTGAATTTGCTCAAATTTTTCATTCTATAATTACGCTACTTTAATTTACAAGTGGACACTCTTTATGAGCAAGGTGACATCTAACATGGTTTCAGGGGGATTTATTTGGACCTATATGGAAAATTAAAATTTTGACTTGCAAAACATTTTTTTGAAAATGCCCGTTTTTTTTTGTTGTTGTTTTTTTTGTTGTTTTTTTGTTTTCCTTCAGAATTATGCACTACTTTGTGTTGATGTTTCACATAGCAGTACATTAAAACACAAAAATTTGTTTAACCTGATAAAATGACTTTTCCAAAATAAAATTTAAAAAGGGCTCTGACTCCAGAGGGGTCAGTATTTATCCAAACTCAACATATAATTTCATTCTCTACCTGAGATTGCCTAATAACACAAAAAAGATCTATGATCTTCTCTTGTCATTGTAAAAAATGTTTACGTTACTTTCCCTACAGCAGCACAAAGATTGTGCTTGGAGTAGCTATTAAGAACTAGTTTTTTGAAATGTTGGCTCACATTGACCCTATAGGCATGCGTGCATGTATGACCCGCCCTTTACTGTCTACTTGTGTCTCTCACACCCTTTCACTTTTCAGCCTGTTTAAATCCTCCTACTAGTACTTGTGTGCAGACTTCTTGCGACCTCAAGAATGTTGAACTTCGGATGACAGATTTTTAGGGGTTGGACTACTCTCGCCTCTGTCTTCACTCTGATTAAAGATTGCCAAAAGTTTCAGCCGTTAGTTGTTGTTGAGAAGATTCTTTCATGGCAGAAAAATAAACCTTTGAAAATGTTTATGTGTAAAAGGCCAGGAGAGGGAGTTAAGGCAACAGAGACAATTGTTTAGAGTCAAAAATTGCTTTGTGGAGTTGAAGAAAAGCAATACAATCAACGCATTCTAAAATACAAAAGGTACTTTTGTGCCTTTGAGTTCTGTAGAGGTGCCTTTTTTTTTCATTTTTCCCACTTTATTGTTGCACTTGTTTCTCTATAATTGTTACCCAAACCTTATGTGATGTGTTTCTAATTTAATAAAGTCAGTTATGCAGTGGGGCAAAAACCAGAGATACACAAATTAACTGATCAGATATTAGAATCAGATCATTTTTCCTAGGTAGGCCAATATCTTCAGCTGAAGACATCCTTTTTCATAGGTTATTTTCCTTGAGATCTATTACTTTTATTCTGATTTCATTTATCATTATTATTTAACTTGCATGCTTGTCTTTTCAATCATTTTATTTGTATTTTTAATTTTTCTTAATGCCATCTCCTGGATAACATCATAAGATGCAAGACAAAGGTAAAGATAAAGATAAACTAACGGCTTAACGGTGTTCATACTCTGAGTTTATCATATCATTTTAGACTAAAGCTTTCCTGGTGACAAGAATCATTAGAAAATCTCCATGCACACTCAAACTCTTGTTGCGAGTGTGCAACAAGAGTTGCACACTCTTGTTGCAACTGCAGAGCAACAAGAGTTGCTCTGCAGATTCAGCTCTCATTTTCTAAGAAAACTGTCCTTCATTGCCATTTTTTCCTACAGCTTTTCCCAGATCCTCTTCTTCGTCTATTTAGAATCATATTCTATTAATTATACAGCATTAACATCTGCAACTTGCTGTTGGAATTCTGACAAAACTCTACCGCAGCAGCACAATTTAGTTTCTTCCATAACACATTTAGACAAAAATTACTAAGAAAACTTTATAATTTTGTGATGATCTCACATGAAATGTTCCAGCAACCGTTATTTATTATTATTATTTTTTATTTTTATTTTTATTTTTTTAAATCATACAATTTTGTCTCTGGGTTTATTATCGCATAATAGTCTCATTACTTTATTTTCTGTTTGATTCAAATTAGAACAATAATCAAAGAACTTTCAACACACTAATAAAAATTTGAAATCAAATGAATCAGAAAAAGACTGGAAATACGTATCAACTAGGAAAATCCTGATGGGTCAATTTCCACGAATTTCCAATTTTCCCCATGTTGAATGTCAAAACTTCTTCAACAGTGCAAGGCAACAAGACCCACTCTATTTGCCGTAACCTTCCAAGAGAAGATAAATTGGTACGAAGAGTTTATGACAAAAATTGTATTTGAGTTTATTTTTCTCTGTTGCCTAACATAGCGATGCGAATTATAGAAGAAAGGGAAGTAAATAAATATGTCTATGCGACTGACATGTAGGAGTAAGACAGTCTAATCTTGTTTAACTGATTAAAAATAAATTGTGAAACGTCAGATATACAGCTTATTTCCCACGCAGCTTTCATCATTGAAGAAATGTGTTTATTTCCTGATAGGTTAAGGAGGCGTTGCTACATAAAATAATTTAACACGAACCTTCCCAAACATACCAGAGTCGTTTCGTAAACTCAGCAAGGTGTGGTTTCAGTCCAAAAAGCAGTTCGCTTCCGTCTATTCACAGAACACCATTATCTGCGCAACAGGAGACGGGGCGAAGGAAAGCGCACGGTTTGTCCGCTCTCCGGACAGCTAGAGCCGAAACAACCGGGGAAATTAACTAAATACACCGTATTTCAACAGGGGAGGGGAAAAAATCCTAACTACGAGCAACATGAATCAATATGGCTCTGAGCCTAACCTGGCAGGACAGAGGAGTAACTCCCAACAGAACTTATACTTCAGTGGAAACGGCTACCAGACGGAGTTCCAGCAAAGGGACCCTGGATACCAAACCTACAGCAGGTCGTCCATGCACGGCGGCGGCGGCCGCAGCATGAAGATCGTGACTACCGGCGGTGGCATTGGAAGTGGAGCACAGACGTAAGTGCTCACATGTTGGACTCTTGGCTAAAAGGAAAAAAAAAAGTGAAAAGAATACTTTCTTAACATCTTCGCATAATGTTTTAGGGGTATTAAGTATTGTCCGTTTACAAAGAGCAGTAGTTTATTTAAGTATATAAGCCATAAAGCCGAAACAAGCTCACGTCCTACTTGTACAGTAACTACAATAATTTTCAATAAATAGGCATACAAACTTTCATGTTTGGATTATTATCGTATTTATAATTATTTCTGCAGCTGATCATCTCGTCAGATGAAGGTAAAAATTAATCTTAGTTTTATCATTCTTGATCTGTTGCACAATATGAAAACATAAGTAACCTTAAGCACACCCTTTTGTCCTTACATAATGATGTCACTTAATTATGGCAAAAAAAAAAAAAAATATCCTTTTTGTATAGTTACAGATAATTATTTGTTCATTGTGACCCTCTGGTGACCTTTGTGTGTGGACTAAAATTGCAACTTTGTCAAAGTACAGTACAGAAACTACTCCATTATAACTTTTCTTGCTAAGCTTTTGACTTTAGGAAATTTTGACCAAATGTTTTTGCTTTGTTTCAAGGTTTAAAAAATATGAAGCTTTGTAACTTATTTACTATAATAACTGTGTATATCTTCTAGCTTTCTGTTTTTGTTTTTCATGTAGCTTTTGTGGTCCTTACTCAACCTTTTGCCTAATGACTGTAATGAATTGAAATCTAAGTTTGTCAAAGCGAATCAGAAACTTTATTATAACTTTGTGGTTGTCCTATCCTACTTTGAAAGCTTTGCACTCAATACTTTCTTTGATTCAAGCTTTAGAAATTATGACATTGAACAATCTACTATCTGTATTTGCAACGTCTGTCTCATAATTGATTTAATAATATTAATTTAATCATAAGTCTATTCTGTTCTTCCCATGGTCAGTGTGCAAAGTATTCATCAAGCAGCTGATTTCCTGTCAAACCAATCTATTGCATTTTTGGAGAAAGCAAATAAGGTCATCGACATTGTAAGTATAACATATCAATCTCTAAATATCTAAAATATTAAAGCAATCAATTTGTCAAAGTTCTTGTTTCAACAAGACACAAATAGAGGATGTCCATATTGAGGTCTTGGTCTTAGAAATAACCAGTATTATAGAAGTACAATCTTGCAGCGCAATAGAGTTCCTGTGGTTTCCTTTCAGGGAGCCCCACCAGCTGAAGCAGAGATGTACCTGCTCAAGACTGCAGAAAATATTGAGAAGCTGAAGGGCTGTGGCCGAGAGTTGCAAGAAATGCGTATACCATCTGATATTGGACAAACGTAAGATGAGACATATTCTTTGTGTTGTCTGGTTGACGTCTGAGGTCTTTTTATCCTTATCTGACTATTTTTTTTTATGTCTCCACAGTATTGATTATTTACAACAACAGCATTCTATGCTCAGACACAAACTTGGTGGGTATGGGACTCTGAAAAGTCACAAGGTCAGTGTGAGCAGTGGAGGTAGTGTGGGGAGTGGTGGCGGGCGATACTTCAATGACGCCATTGCTTGGATAACACAACAGAAGGTGAGTTCTGTTATTTGTGAAAATACTACAGTTTAATTTTACACATTTGTTTCTCATTTCTAAAGTAACCATGAAAACTTTATTTCTTGGCACTAGACGTGGTAAAAGTCTTGGAAAATAAATGTGGGAATTATTAACTTCTATATCCAGGATATGCGGATGAGAAGCCAGTGAACTAGTTTGTACAGTTTTTTTTTCTCTCTGCTGTGGAAGTCAGAAGAGTGGATAAACTTCCCCTAGCATTTATCCTACCCTACTGTAACTGGAACCACCTGAACTCGGTGCCAAAACCTGATCCGGGAGTGAAAGAGGCTAAGAGAATTGGTGGAGGATTGAAACAAAGGAGTAGCTGGAGAAAAAAAAAGAGAAAGAGAGTTTGCTTTTGCATGAAGCTCACAGAGTTTTTTTTTAAAGGCAACACAGCAGTGAAAATAAAGGAGTCATTGAAACAGGATAGAAAGTGGGAGTGAAGAAGTGCGATATGTTGCACTATCCGCTGAGTTGGTTTGTAAGAAACAGGGCAGCCCATTTGACCTGTAGTATGTTCATGGGAAAACGCCTTTCTGTTCGTTTACTCAACAGCACTCGACCTTCCCGCAAACACACCCTGTCATTCTGTCACCACTTACAGCCTCACCCTTCTGAATCTTACCACACGCGTTCCTGCCATTACCACGTCAAACTTTTTTCTTTTTTTTTTTTTTTCATTCCCCAACCTGTATTCCTTAAGTTCAGAGCACATAGGTAACTTTTAGTTTGCACCGTTGGTTGTCAGTGTCGCATTTCAAAGGATAATTTTGCTGATATTTCAAAGTGGCATATTACTTTTGTTGCTGCAAGTTTGGTTTGTCCTGTGTAGCATTGGGCAAGTATACACAAGGGGGAAAAAAAGGGAGTGGCGAGCAAACAAAAGCCCCGACAGAGAAGGGTGGAAAAAAAATGCAGAGTGCAGAACAGGGACGGGCTGAGGTTGTGTTCCTGGCTGAGCTCCTATCGAAGTTGAGGACTGCAGACAAGGAGGGCATAGTTGGAATAGTTTCCTGCTTACCAAAAACCTAATGATTATTTGCTGACACCTAGAGGGCAAAAAAGGAAAAAGACAAAGAAAGCATTTGGGTGCAGGGATTCAATATTACATCGAGTTTTGTTTAATGTCTTACCTGTAAGCAGTTAATGTCTTACCTGTAACCGTTCTGATGTTTTTATTCTGAGTTTTCAACAGACGCTCATGAGTAATTGCACCAAAACTTGTTGCATTTGAACATTCCAGATGAAAGACAAGCCAAAAAATTGTATGTTAGCTTAAGTAAACTGCAGCTTGTTGCTTTTTTTTTTTTTTTTTTTTTTTTGAATTTTCCTTTTTTTTTGAGTTTACACTTTTTTTTTTTTCTTAATTTT